TGGAAAAGACAACAATGCTGGGAAAGGTTGAAGGCAGCAGGAAAAGAGGTGGACCAAATATGAGATGGGCTTGACTCTACAGGTGCTGAGCAGGGCTGTTTAGGACAAGGTATTTTGGAGATCACTGACCTCCCTGACTTTTTTATTTGGAAAGAATCTATGCTGCAGGAGCCGAAATGTTGATTAGAGACGGGATATTCATATTCGTGAATGAATACAAATATCAAGGACCCAGGTAATTGTGTTCCCTAGTCCCACGTCCATGAACCAACCTATTCACTTATGGGTTGCTGCGCAGCATGCATCAGGCCAAGCTCCGACAAAGCCCAGCTGCCACTTCTTGGCCTTCCTTCTCTTCTGGCCACTCAAGCCAGTGGGTGGGATGACAAATGAACTGGTCGATTTGGGGAGGAAGGACTGGGGATCCCAGGCACCTGGGCCCGGGATATTCATATTTGTTCACAAGTAAGAATATCCCATGTCTGATGCTGATCCTCAAAATAAGTCTTTCAAAATTGAAAAATAGCCACTTTGTTAAAAGAGGAAGCATGTGTGGTACAGACTTGGGAGCAGGAGCTTTGTGAAATGAAACATTGTATAAATTTGTATCGGGGCTGGGGGAAGGAAGTATTTCAGTATACCTTTTCACAAGATTTCTGAGACCAAACAGCCTCCTCACATAAGTTTTCAGAGGATAAATCAGCTTCATGTCTGGGACAATCTGAATGTTTGGCTCTATCACTCAGGCAGTTAGCTGACTCTTAGCTAACTTTTAAACTCCATCCTGGCCAAATAGGCTTATCACAATTATGCTTGCAAAGGGATTTTGTGTCTGGTTGTAAAAAGATATATTTAAAAATACAGATATTGAAAATATTGTTAAAATGTTTTTAAAATAATATAAAACAAATATTCAGAAGTTTGTTTAAGGTGCAAAATTACTATTTTTTCTTTGTGGCTGGGGATTATTTTACTTTATGTTAGTAGAGCTTTACTGTCTAAGTCATAGTCTCCATTCCACCCATCTTGTCACTATACAACTGCTTGGTAATTTAAAAAAACTCAAAAGATGTTATGACATCAAATTCATTTCTGATGTGTGTGATAAATATATGAGTTAATGATCTCCTAAATGTCCTGTCATTAACAGCTCTGCTCAGATATTGCAAATCAGCAGATCACAGCATCTAATTTTAGGTTGTTCTCTCTTCCTCCCTTCCTAGCAGCCTTGTTTTTTTCGAGTAAATCCTCCTCAGATTTTGCAAACAGCAGTAGATTCTGTTCTTGAGTCAACCCATCTCAAGTAAGGTCTTCCTCTCTTCCTCCTGACCCAGACATCACTTTTCCCTGAAACATTCTTTTCCAATCAGGTCTGTATTCTCATTTTATGTGCAAGATAAAATAGCTTAAATTTACTCCTTTTTGCTCTGGTGAGAATTCAGACTTGACTTGATTGAGTACCCACTTTTCTGCCTTTCTGACTGTGGTATTTGTAAGGGTCACCTCCAACATCATGTTTCAAATGAGTTGATTCCCCACCCCCAGATCTTTCTTCACTGTCTGTTTTCTCTATAGTATCAAGAGACTGAAAAAAAAATGAGGGATCATATTTTCTGTTTCTCTTCTAGAAAATCAGACTTTGTAGTCTATGCCTAGGATGAGCTAATCAAAAGGGGGGGGAAATCCACTGGTTATTAGAAGACAGCAAACACCTGCACCTTATCTCTGTGAGAAAGGAAACTTCAAGGCTAGATGGAGCTCGCCCTTTAGTACTGTGTTAATGAGCAGAATGGTTTCAGCTGAGTGACAGGGGGAGGAAGAAGTCATTCTCTTCTTCATGAAAATGCTGTGAAAAATGACACTTAATTGGCAGATCTTCTGGAAGGGTCTAAAAACTGGAGTGAGACTGGACTGAGAGATAAGTAGGCTAAACTAAACTTAGTTTAGCCTACTAATCTCTTAGGAGAATGCTATGTTCCTCTGCTGTTCATGACTTGCACTCTGTACATGCTCTGGAACATTCAGGAGGAGGAGACTAAGGGCCACAGGTGGGAAGTGAAGCTGCATGTCCCAAGCACAAAAATCGCTACTTATTGCTCTGATCAAACATTCAGCCATCTTTCTTTCTTGGACTTTTCCCTTCTTTTGCTTTAATCTTCCAGTTGCTCTCTACCTTCACCATCAGATGGCAAAAGTTCTTAGCACTCATCCCCACCTTGATTCACTTCCAGCTCTGATTCACATGTGAGTCAACCTGGAGAGATCAGATGCCATGTCATCTTTTGCTGACTCATCCTTTTTTCCCGCTTGTGCTATGACAGGGTTACTGCCAACAACTCTTAATTTCTGTAATGCTGCCTGTCTCTCTCAACACAAGTTCATCCTGGCAGCTGCACACTAGACTATAGCCAGCTCTTTACCATTTATTTAGTTTAGCTCATCTCTCCAGATCATCATGCACTCATTGCATAAGGTAAACATCAAACGATTGGTGAAGGGTGCCTAAAAATAAACGCTGCTTGTGAGTTCTCACTCTAATTTAAAATGAGCAGGGAATGTTGGATAAAAAATTTCCTCTTTCTGATAATTCCTCAATACACACTTCAGGTATGATCGCATGGGCATATAGCTTGCATTTTGGTCTTGTAACATGGTCCACAAGCTATTTCTGAGCTATCACATGACATACAGGAAGTAACGCTGCAGTTCAGCCCTGATCTGGGCCCAAGCTAGACCTTTCTGGTCCAGCAGTAGAGCTGCTACTTTGGGGGGGGGAGTCTGGAGCAATTCCTTGGGAGATGGGAGGGTCACTTCCAGAGAGACTGCTGCCTGAAAAACACATTTCTGGTTCTATCAGATGTGTTCCTTTCTCTCCATCTGATCACACCCTTAATGCTTGGGTGATGTAAAAACAGAACAGTCTGAGATGCAAGAGAAACATCTCTGAGATGGCTTTTAATCTTTCCATAAGATTGTATGGGTGTGCTCAATGAATGACTGGAAGCATTTTAGTTGATAAATCATAATCACACATAAATATCTATGGGGCAAACTCTTGTTGCATAATGTTACACCAGCATAAATCAAATCCAGTAACAGAAATAATTTATTTGAACAGATTCAAAGCTTTCTATCCCCACCCCCTTTAGGTTCCAAGGCTTTTGGGGGCTCCCTTTTGCTCTGGGGAAACCTTTGGAAGCTTCAGGACAGAGGGAGGAAGCTTTAATAGTAAAAAGAAATTGCTGCCAGTGGTCCTGATCCAGCATAACTTTATGCAACAGGATTTTCCCCATTATAACCAAAGAAAAATTTTAAAATGTAAATGCACTTTGGATTGACAAGGGTGCAGTGGCACTGCAAGGGTAAAAATTTTTACAGTCTCTTCTCAGTAAGCACATTGTAAGTGTTCCTACATGCTTTTTTATTCTAACATCCAGCAAAGGAAAAAAACAAAAAGCTGTGTGGGCCCTGTAAGAGTTCTAGAAACAAGGTTGATAATATCTTTAGTGGATCACTAAGATATTAATCAAAGATGTGTATTCAAACTCAACAGGACCCTTCATTAGGCTGGCCAACACTGATAGTTAAGAATTAACTATCACACTAGCATAAAAGAATTGATGGCTCAAATCAGTTGTGATGGGGCAGAGAAGTCTATGAATCAATTGTGAAAGGGCAGCTGCTGGGCGGCAGCAGTAGAGGAAAGTTACACTTTCATAACCAATGGCAGTGACATTCGTGCTGGTTCAGTCGAAAATAACATGGCAGAAGAAGGCAATGGTAAGTATGGTAAGTCACTTCTGAATATTTATCTCCAACCCTATGATGGAGTCCAAAACAAAATGAGACAGAGTGCTGGAAGATAAGATTTCCAAGTCAGAAGCTATTCAATTAATTTCTGAAGAGCAAAGGCTAAGTACAAATAGTGCCACTAAGGAAGCAAATGGATCAAAGCCAAGAGGGCATCTAGTTACTGATATGCACTGGGGGGGGATCCAAGTCTGAAGCTGTACAACACATTTAATTTGAATGATTACAGAAAATACTATTTTGGAAATGATGAACCCAGAAGAAATTGTGTATCCCCAATAGTGAGGCAAGACAAGCAGTCAGTGGCTATAATATTAAGTCTGATCAAACGATATCAAACAAACTTCATGGACAGCCTACCAAGATAACCATCATTCATCTCCATGCTCCAACCCTAAATGGTGAAGAAGGAGAACTGTAAATCTTTATCCACATATCCAGGAAGAGGCTGATCACACACCAGAATTGGATGGACTGATAATTGTAGGTGATTAGAATGTGAAAGGACCAAAGCACAGAATTCTATAAAGTCAGCATTTTGTTTATCTGAAATACATGTTTCAGGTACCTAACAGAAAATTGTACACAAAGACATCACCAGATGGCCAATACAGAAACCAAATAGACAACATATTCCAAGCAGAAGATGGAGAAGCTGTGTTCTTTCTTCAACTAGATGACAAGCTGGCAATGGTATAACTCAGCCATGAAAATCAACAGGGTTAAGTTCTGGATTTATGAAAACCCTTTTCATTTTATTAAAAGAGGCATAAATTTTAATGTGCAAAATTTACTGTTGTCTGCATGAAAATATGTTTTCCTCAGGAAACTATAGAATAATAAAATAAGAAAAATGTATGTTTAAACTTGAAGAGGTGACAAGTTGTAGAATCAATAGAATGAGTACATACAGTATTGTATAACACTGCTGGTGGCTTCCTACAGTTAATTTTGTTGAAAGAGTCTCCAGGATTCCAGTAAGACCTAGAAAACGGGTTTGTAGCAGATTGTGAGGGATGACTTATTCGTCTCTGAGAAGTGAGGAGATATTTACCGCGCTGCATGACAAGCAGGAACTCAACAGGGAAAGCCATTTCCCCGTCTAGTGTGTCTCAAGGCTGAGCGACTGCAGTTCCATTCTTTATACCTCTGCCCAATGACTCAGCTGCTTTAAAAAGACGGGGCCGCGTTAGAGGGCGGGTAATCACATTTGGTAACGACGTAAAATATATACCCCGATTTCTTCACTGAAGGGGAAGGCGTGAGCCTGAGCGAGCTTGGCAAGTCATGTGACTTTGGCTGGCGTCACATGACCAGAAGGAAACGAGAAAGGAGAAGTGTCTGCTGCTACCCGGGGGTTTTGCAAAGGGCTCGGGTCGCGCCATGCTCTCCCGGCTGCTGAGAGAGCACCAGGCGAAGCAGAGCGAGAGGAAGGAGTTGCAAGGTGAGCGCGGCCTGGTCCGTCTTTGGAAGCCTCGGGCTGGAGTTCCTCGACTAGCTGTCGTGATCCCTGGGCCTTGCTCTCTGCGCATCACCGGGACAGCCTCCGACTAACAACGGGCGTAAATGCCTCTGGGTCAACTGTGGCCTGCGGTCTTTGACCCAAAGGCCCATTAATGGGGAGAAGGATTGTGTGTGTGTGTTTGCGCGCGTGCGAATCCAACCGATCCCAAAGGATTCCAAGCGCCTGACTGATCTCCCTTAACTCCCTTTCTACTTACTCCGCGTATCCTGTACCGAAGCTTTTCCTAGAAACGTTTTGCAGCTGTGCCCCCTCGCTCTTGCCCAGGGTGGCAGGCGGTTTCCTCCTGGGGCAGGAGACCCCGACGACGTTAGCAGGGCCCCGGGTTCTCCAGACTCAGCCCTTGTTTATAATCTGCCTGCACGTTTTTAAAAACAGATTAAGGACGGTGTTGAGCATACATGCGAGTCCTTGAAAAACGGTGTGCTTCTGGGAAGAACTGCACAGTTGTAGGAGTGTTCACACGAAATGTGTTTTGCCCTGGTGCCCCTTGTTCACATGGGCGCTATATGACTATACAGTATTAGGCCCTGCCTAATGGTAGTTTCTGATGCTGTCTCGCTGTTTTTTTTTTCTGTGTCCACATCCACTAGGCTGTATGAAAGTATTGAAGTGGGTGGAAAGGTACATTTGAAATATGTTGAGCACATTTAAGGTTTACTGATAACAAGAATGCCAAGAGGCAGCAGCGTGTAAAGCCCTCCCATCCTGGACTGTGAGGAGAACTACTGTAGTAGTGTCCATAGGTGCATTTGGTGGGGACACGGGTGAGGGCCTTCTCTGTTGCTGCACCCAGACTCTGGAACCCCCTCCCATAGGCATTTTTAGTGTGGTACTTGTTTGATTTTTTAAAAATTGTATACTTACAGTTTTTAGCTTTTGAATACTGCCTTTTAATGATGTGAGCCACCTTGGCTTCTTTTTCAGGAGAAAGGCAGAGTGAAAATATATTAAATAAATTCGTGCTTTGAAAAGTGTTGCTATCCCTGATATAGATGCATCCTAGGTTTGTACCACTCTCAGAAATCTGTTAAACTTTAAAAATACTGAAAGTCCTTGTTTTGTTGTCTAGAACGGCGCCGGCGAGAGGCTATTGCTGCAGCTACTTGCTTAACAGAAGCCCTGGTTGACCACTTAAATGTGGGGTAAGTGATACTGTGCAGTCAAGTATGGATGGATGTTACTGTCCCAGCTTGTCAGTTGGGATTGAACGATATCTTACAAGGGAGAGAACAGTTATGTTTTCTATTTTCCTTACTGAAAAATAAGCATGGGGAATCACATCAGGATCCTAGAATAAGGAAGTGTCTGTCATAGTAACAATTGTATGTCATTAAATTAACTCTGGAAACCTTTCCAGGGTATAAAGTATTCAAAAGTGCTTTACAAGTGCCTCCTCTTGAAGGCTTTCTTCATTTATGCAACTCACCCAAGGCAAAGAAGTGACATGGCTCATAACTCCATCAGCTTGCAGTGATCTCCTCTGGCTAGTTTTACAGATGTTACAGGCAGGATTTGATCTCCTTGCCCTTGGGCATTCCAACCTAGTAAGCTGTAGCAGAAGAACTGTAACCTTTTCTCCCCTACTGTCCTCCCTCTCCAGATCATTGTTTCTGATTACTAGTTGCTAAGGAACATGAACAACAGGATGCTGTTGCCCATTATGTTGTGGTTAGGCCTTATCTTGAGTACTGTACTGCATCCAGTTCTGAACACAGCACTTCAAGAAGGATGCCAACAAACTGGAGCAAGTTGGGAGGAGGGCAACAAGGGTCATCAAGGGGCTGGAAAGGGCCTATGAAGAAAGACTGAAAGAAGTGGGCATGTTTAGCCTTGGGAAAAGAAGAATGAGGGGAGATATGAGAGCACTCTTCAAATACTTGAAAGGTAGTCATACAAAGAAGGAGGAGCATCTGTCCTTGATCATCCCAGTGTGCAGGACATGCAACAATGGGCTGAAGTTACAGGAAGCCAGATTTAGACTGAATATCGGGAAAAACTTCTTAACTGTTAGAGCAGTACAACAGTGGAACCATTTACCTTTGGAGGTGGTGAGTATTCAAACTCTACAGGCGTTCAAGAGAAAATCGGACAATCATTTGTCAGATCTGTTTTGATTTGGATTCCTGCATTGAGCAGAGGGTTAGATTTATAGGCCCCTTCCAACTCAATTATTGTTGTGGGTTTCCCATAGATATTTGGTAACCCACTGTAAGTATGGTTGCAGGACTATGTAGCCTTTGGATTGAACCCTGTTCCCATGATAGAGCCCTGCACATTTTTGTTGTCTAAAATGATCTGTTTAAAGCCATGGATCATTTTTGGTAGTCCAGACTACAGATGGAGTAGAAGGAGCGTTAACTTAGGCTGCAGTAGGAGGTGAAGGATTAAAGATCTCCCACTTCCTACTAGGCTTTTGATTTCCACTCTTACTTCTAAGTAAGGAGGAACAGGTGCTGGTGCTGCCTGTTATGTCAGTAAAATAATATATAATGTAACTCTTATTTCCCTCCCTCTGGGAATTAAAGGAAAGTATAATAGCTAAGAGTCTTAAGTTGTGGGCCAGATGTCCCCAATTAAGTCCTATTACCACCAGCTTAAATTTATTATGTGGGATTTGATGAGACCCTCAGTCCCCCATTCACAATACGTATGGCGTTTCTAAGTATTCCTGGGAGAGCGTATACAAAAGGTTTTCAGTGTTATTGTAAAATATGAATGCTAGGTATCACTGTAACTCTTTGTTGCTTTGTATATGGGTGTATAATTGTTCAGTCCATGATTAACTCAGCTTTGCTTCACCAAAAGGATTGGGCTGTTCATTTACAAACAGGAAGAGACCCACTCCTCTTCTTGTGATCTCTCCATTAGTTCCCTCTAACTCATCACCCCAGGCCAAAGATCTTGAGACACAGCAAAAAAAATGATATCAGTACGCAGCATGAATTAAGACATTTAGCATCCAACTTGGCAGTTTTTGCTATCTAAAATAAGCAACTAGAGAATCATGCTATCATGTGGCACACTCACAGCTCCTCTATGACTATAATTGCAACAGCTTGGCTGCAGTGGGGTTGGGGGGAAACCTACATTTGCATTTTGAAAGGAAACCCTATGTGCAGTCAGAGTTGTTGATTTGCTTGTAACTACTCCCGTTTCCACAGCCAGAGACCAGTTTCTGCAGCAGCTCCACTGTTTCATTGTGGGAGTTGCAACAGGAAAAAATACTGTGGACTCTCGGGTTTTATCCATGGTTCCCTTGCAAATTACTTTGCGTTATCTCTGCTCTTGCTGGGCCACACACCTAGATGTCGCTCCAGACATAACTGCAGTAGATGTGGATTTTGGAGCAGTGGAGCTAGAGGTAGGTTTCTCTCAGTTGTGAGCTTGGATAGTGGGTAAACAAACTGGAAGGCAACGACTGTCTCCTATCAACAATGCAGTCCTCCCAGACCAGACCTTGCCAGCCAGAGCCCTCTAGGAAGCCCAGAAGCTGGATAGGAGGACATGTGCCTTCTCCCAAGTGATGTTCAACCCTGTGGTGCCTCTGAATGTGGGGTTGCACATTGGCATCATGACTAGGTAAAGGTAAAGGTCCCCCTTGACATTTAGTCCAGTCGTGTCCAACTCTAGGGTGCGGTGCTCAACCCCGTTTCCAAGCCATAGAGCTAGCGTTTGTCCGAAGACATTTTCTGTGGTCACGTGGCCAGCGCGACTAGATATGGAACGGCGTTACCTGCCCACCGAGATAGTACCTATTTATCTACTCACATTTTTACATGTTTTCGAACTGCTAGGTTGGCAAGAGCTGGGACAAGCAACAGGAGCTCACTCCGTCACGTGGATTCGATCCTACGACTGTTGGTCTTCTGACGTTGCAACACAGACGCTTCTGCAGTTTAACCCACAGCGCCACCACGTCCCTTTTGGCATCATGACTAATAGTCATTAATAACTTTACCCTTCACCTTCAGTTTGTCTCACCTCCTTTTGGATCCCTCTAACTTGTGACTGTCAGGACATCTTGTGGACGGTGACTTGCATAGAAGGAGACATTGTGTCAAATGAAGTACATAGATGATGCATTCCTTTTTTTGTTTGTTTATTCTCTCACTGTTCACGCTCAGTGGGACAACCTGGGGTCCTGGGACTAAGAGAGAAAGAAAAGAAACGTCTTCTGTCCACTCTCTCCACACCACCTATGCATAATTTCATAAGCCTCTTTTGATGTTCCTTTACTTATTGTTCTTCTATACTGAAAATCCCCAGACATTTCCTTTTCCTTGTTGCAACCCCCTAATCATTCTGGTTGCCCTTCTCTGAATCTTGGTCTAGCAATGCTTGATGTCCTTGTGAGAACTATTAAACGTCATGTTTCCATTCCTACATGTCATGACAAGTCTTGGAAGGGTAGTCCCAGGTCAACAAAACAAAAGGAATAATTGCCAAGAATAACAAAAAAAATAGCAAAAAATATATTTTAAAGTTGGATGGAGATTTCAGTAACCAGTCACTTTATCTGAACCACTCAACTCCCTCTGTTCTGCTTTTGTACTGTATTTATGTACATGGAAAGTAGACAGTGCTGGCGTGGTGGTGTTTATAGCGATTGATTCTTGTCCTTGACTAGGCGTGTCCATGTCTCGGGTATTGGCACCATCCAGCTCTGTGGTCAGCAGATGGACAAGGGAGGAAGCTGCCTTTGCCATTTCCTCCTTCTGCCTCACACTTCCCTGGGGGATTTCATCAGCACTGCCAGCCTGTGGCCATTATGGGGAGTGATGGGAGAAATGGCTTTGGCCAGCCTTGCCTACAAGGCCTTTTCCTGGGTTGTAGCCAAACGATGTATATTCAAGACAGAAAAAGAACAGGAGTGCTTATAAAAAGACCCGAAGTAAATTTTGAAATATTATTACTGGTACTGCAGCCAAAAGAAAAAAAAAAGCATGCACGCTATTCACTTCCTTGTTTCTTGTCTGCAAGAATCACATGACTGCTCCTGGGGAGTTGCTGTGTTTATATGCTCTGGGAAAGTGACTGGTGCTCCAACTGCAGGTTATAAGGACACTGCTTTGGCCAATTAGTCACGTTGCCTCTGTTGGAAACTGGAGTAGCATAAGCAAATAAGGCTTAAAATCTAAATCTGCCGCCATCACCCAGCCACGCAGAGGTGGATGGGGTTCTTTGACTCTTAACATCAAGAGATGTTGATAGGGGGAAGAATCGCCAGTGCCTGTAACGGATTTCCTTGACCTGGTGCCATCTGAATGTATTGGATTCCAGTGCCCATTGGCCATGATGGGAACTGTTGGTAAACGCAGTCTGCAGGGCACCCCTCTTTTCTTGTTCTCAACCAGTCCTTTAAGAGCACAGTTGAGAACAGGCAGCTTCAAGAACCCCCAGGATTGCTGGGAGGCCCAAGGTCGCTCTGGTTCCACCCAGAGGCTCACCAGATTATTTAGATTGTTGATGCTTAGAGGCTGAAAATGCAAACAGTGAAGTATGTAAGGTGGAAAATTTCTGGATTGAGTTTCAGTTTATTAACCCTCATCCAGTCCATTATCAGCCCCAGACACGAGTTCAGCACAGAAACCGCCTCACCTGTATTGGTGGAAAACGAGAGGTAGAGCTGAGTGTCGTCAGCATATTGCTGACTCCTCAGCCCAAACCTCCTGATGACCTCTCCCAGTGGTTTCATGTAGATGTTAAACAGCATGGGGGACAGTATCGAGCCCTGAGGAACCCCATGACATAAACGCCATGGGGCAGAGCAACTGTCCCCCAGCACTACCCTCTGGACACGGTCAGCCAGAAGGGAGTGGAACCACCGTAAAGCAGTGCCCCCAACTCCCAACCCAGCCAGCCTATCCAGAAGGACACCAATGGTCGATGGTGTCGAAAGCCGCTGAAAGGTCCAGGAGTATCAACAGGGTCACACTCCCCCTGTCTCTCTCCCAGCAAAGCGTAAGGTGGAAAATTTCTCGCTGGAAGAATATCCGAAAAACGCCAGTCTTAACTTCCTATGGACAATTACCTGCAACAGAGACATTACTGTCCTGTTTCCCAGATTTAATCCAGTTCTTTTGCCAAGTGTATACGTATAGTCATTCACCTCACAGTAGAAAGAAAATATGTCAGCTTGGTTCTCTGTCTGGCCAGGCAAGAGACATCTGTCGGTGAGGCTGGGTCTGGCTGATAATAACCAGGTTCGACACAGCCCTGGCATGAACAGATACCACAGGCAGCCCAGGAAGGTTAGGAAGTGAGATGATGGCAGAGAAGCCCTTGCTGCTGTTCTTCCTCCTCTACCCACAGTTTCCTTTGGGGCTGTAGTGCCGATACAGACAAATCAAGGAAGTTTTAGTATGAGTGGCCTCTAGAGGCTTTGCAAGGGGCATGGAGTGAGGATGACACCTTTTTCTTGGAGGCTGTGTTCGGTTTGGGGAGGAAAGCAATTTCTAGCAGCTTACAATAGAAGACAGAGTGTGCTGAGCACTGGGGTCCCAGTGTTGTTTCTCTTAAATTGTTACATGATTTGTATTCTCGAAGGCTTTCATGGCCAGCATCCGACGGTGGTTGTAGATTTTTCGCGCTGTTTGGCCGTGTTCTGGAGGATGTTACATGATTGGTTTGTCCATTTCCCCCTCTCCCCAGCTCCCCATACATGCCTCAAGAATGGGCAACCAGCACCTGCCACAGGTTTTAGACTGCAGCTCTGTAGCTTCTGACCATTAGCCAAGCCCTCTGGGACAAAGCTGAAGTTGAAAACATAGGAGAGCACTTGTGTTTCTACTGACCAGACCAAGTGAAGGGTAAAGATTCAGGTATCTGAGAATGAAGGCAGCTCCCGGAAGCAGAATAGGGTATTCCTACCTCCACTGGCTCTATACAGCTGGAATATAGAATAGTTCAGATTGCATTTCATGAACCACTTGTTTTGGAGGACAGAAAGTCTCAAGCTTGTGAATTGCACAGAACTATCCTTAAGGCAGGAAAGATTTCTTTCTTTGGCACCCATTCAGCAGCTAATCTTGTGGCTGCTGGGCGGTTTTTTTGTTTGGTTTACACCTCTTCATATTTTTGCAAAGTGGCTAGCTTGCCCTCTTCAGGCAATTCTTTTGCCTCCCTTAGTAAGGGAAATCTCTTGCGCATCCTTCACCTGCCTTTGCCTTAATAGCGATTGGATCCAGATGTTTCAAGTGCTTCGTAATGATTGCCAGATGTTGCTTAGCCACTAAATCCGCTGCGGCTTGGGAACTTACCCATCTACAGACTCCCAGCGCCTGCCTCTGCCCCTGGGGTTAGTTAGCTTACTCTGAGCTGGGAAGAGCTGAGCAGAAAATGCAGTGATGGAGAGAAACATCTAAGGTTCCTCCCCTGCTCATTCCAGTTAATTGATGAGCTTTTTCTTCCCACTCTAGGGTGGCGCAGGCCTATGTGAATCAAAGGAAGCTTGACCATGAGGTGAAGACACTGCAGATCCAGGCTGCTCAGTTTGCCAAGCAGACAGGCCAGTGGATCAGCATGGTGGAAAACTTCAACCAGGCACTGAAGGTCAGTGGGGTGGTAACATGAATGGGTGGGGGCACATGCTTCCACAGTAATATCAGATCATCCCACAGAGAACAGCAGATTCTCTAGACAGGAGAAACTACCAGCGGGTTTATGCAAAAGAAGATAAGGGAGATTAAGCATGAAAAGAATGCTTAATCTAGGGTTCTGTTTTGTCCCCCATGTTTTTTTAACATATACAGTGGTGCCCCGCAAGACAATGTTAATTTGTTCAGCGAAAATCGCTGTCTTGTGAAAACATTGTCTTGCGAAATACGGTTCACCATTGGAATGCATTGAAATCCATTTAATGTGTTCCAGTGCGGAAAAATCATCGTCATTTTGCAAAAATCGCCCATAGAGAAACCGTTTTGCGAAGCGCGGATCAGCTGTGAAAATTGCTGTCTTGAAAAAAACGGTCCCCAAAACACCCATTTTGCAAGTCGCGGACTCAGCTGTCAAAACCGTCATCTTGCGAAAATTGGTTAAAAAAAAAAAACATCTTGCGAAGCACGATCCAAAACATCGTCCAATGAAAATCGCCCATAGGAAACACTGTTTTGCGAAGCGCTATAGCAATTGCAAAAACTCATCATCTAGCGAATTAACCATTTTGCGAGGTAATCATCTAGTGGGGCACCACTGTACATAGTTTCTCAGGTCTGAGGATTCCTGGAGGAAACAGAAGATTTAGCATCTAGATTGGGGTTGGTGGTGTTCAGAGTGCTTCTGCATCCTAATCGTGTAACAAGAGTTGGTTTTGGCCATCTGGACTTTATTATTTGGAGAGCACGGCTTGCAGTTACACCTGAGCTCTGACAGAACCCAAGCTTTCTAAAAACAGTAAATAAATCACCAGGCATGGACATAGTTCCAGGCAAAAGAGCCACTGCAGAATGGAAGAGCATGTTGCTCCCATCCATAGTCTGGGTTCCTGGTGGATGGGCAAAGGGCATCAGGTGTTCTTAGTTAGTCACTGACTTCTCATCCATTGATCCTCCACAGTGAACTTGCAAACAAACTGATCAGTTTCCTCATGCTCATAATAAGAGTGTAGTTTGTTCTGTTGAGTACTGGAACCCTGTAACTTTACATAGACAGGGGGATACTCCTTCCCATTTCATGTAGGATCTGAATATGGTCTTTGTGTGAATTCTTTGGAATTCTGTGTGAATTCTAGTTAGGAGATGAACTTCTCATTGCATTGCCACTGCATGTACCATTTCATGACAGCACCTTCTCCCTCTGCACTGGAAGAAGAAAGAGAGTGCTTAACTTGCCCATTTCCTTTAGAGGAAAAACAGCTTGAGGGAGGGAAGGAGAAACTGACTGGCAAAGAAAGGATGAACCTTCTCACTCCTCCTCCAGGCGAAGTCATCCTCTCTATAGGACACTAGGCAAAAAGTAACAGGCGATGGGTTTATTTGACCACAAGGCTTCAGGAGAGGCTCTTGTGAGCCTAGGCGGTTTCCTGCCTAGGTAGCAGTCAAGTCATCTGGAAACGTGAAGAGTGGAAGTCAAAAGGCATAACATCCCTTCTTTCTTTTTCGGTGGGACCAAGTGTGAGGCTGTCTCTTTAGGAGGTAGTCAGGCAAAACAGAGTCCCATCTCCCCATGAGTTAAAATTGCAATAGCCATGGAAGTGAGAGATCCCATTTGAGGGGGAACCGGGAGCTCCAAGTATGGAGGCAGAGTGAGAAGGCCCCGGACTGGAGCCATGAGCTGGCTTGGGGGTAGTGGAGGAAAAGTTGAACACTCTGAGAAAAGCAAGGTGTATGCTTTTGATATACAGTATATCCCTTTTCACAGCTGGTTTTTTTGTTTTGTTTTGTTTATAACAGTATAGACACCTTGGTGAGATAATTCCCACGGTAAATGAGCTTCTTGCAGCTACATGTGGCCAGTAATCCTGACAGTAACCAGTTGGAGAGCACCATCTGCTGGGCAGAGGCTGCCCAAAATTATAATGTTGAAAAAGAAACAAACTAACGAGCCTGTGTTGCTCCCCCAGAATGGCTCAGATGAATACAGTACATGTGAAATTTGTACCTGTAGGTTCTTCGGGCCTAGGCAGGATATATATGTAGCAATGCTAATACCATATATAATATAAGGTAGTATGGCATAATTTACAGATACACAGGACACTTAAGGGAGGATGGGCAGAAAAGTTTTATTCTATTATAGACCTTATTTTCTTAATGCTTATTCTTCTAATTCTCTTGACATTCAGAGGTTCGGACCTAACTAAATGTCTGGGGCAAAGACCAAGCTTGGTCCATGCACATCTGCATACCATGGAAAAACAGAAAGACTGATGGTGGATTCTTCTCTTTTGGGCAGGAAATTGGTGATGTGGAAAACTGGGCACGCAGCATCGAGATGGATATGCGGACGATCGCCACAGCCCTGGAATATGTCTATAAAGGCCAGCTGCAGCCTTCCACTTCTTGAGATGGGCCCTTGCCTGTTGAGCCTCGGCGGCCACATAACTTAAGATTCCTTCTCTCGTTGTGGCGTGCCAGCTGAGGGCAGCCGTGGCGCATGTTTCCCTGCCTGCCAGCCTTTGCTCAGCTTCTGTCGCTGCAACGTGCGGCTGCTGTAAGAGTCACTGCTGGGCCTTATCTCTGGCCCCGGCTGTCTCCGAGGAAGTGTGGTTCTTTCCTGTTTCTGGGGAAATAGAAGCAGCCTGGCATGAGGCGAGGGGGAAAAGGTCCTGCTTACCACATTGAAAGGAGAAGGGTTGTGCTTTTTCCAGTGCAGCCCTTCGGGGATCTCTGCTGTGAAGTTAAGAGTGATGGATTAAAAATAAAAAACAGAATTTCCAAACAAACTGCAGATGTTGTGAGATCCACTTACGCGAGCCAGGTGTGCCCAGCCCCACTTCAGAGAGTACAAGCACGGGTGGCTTTCCTCCTTCTCTGGCCCAAAGAAGGCAGCCCCATGGAGATGGGAGTCCTTCAGAGTAGGCTTGGCCGGGTGCCCATTAGGTCTCCCAGCCTGGCCTCCTCATCCTCTTTAGTTCTTAAATCCCTCTCTGAAGGTCTTTTTCAAGCCTTAACAAAGGAACCCTTTCTCAGGCTAGTTTGTTTTTAATCTACTGTGATTCAGCCCACAGTACACGCTTGCTCAACAGGGTAACGTAAAAGGAGAGGAGGGTTCAGCCCCATGTTGTAACCTGCCCCCCTTTTGCTGCATAGGAAACAAAATATTCTGATATGGTTAAGGAGAAACTGTTGTTCAAGTAAGCTCTCCCATCTCCTTCCACTCTTAATTCTTACCAGATGCGTTACTTAATATGTCGTCTTCCAGCTTCTTAAAATGGGTGTTAGCTGGCAGGATTTCCTGCTTCCCCTCCCTTGTGTATGTGTGTGCAGATCTACCTCCCATCTGCTTCCATAGTTACAGGGATGAGGAGCTGTTGAATCAATAATGCCTTTTCATTGCATTTCTTATGGGCAAGAGCACAGAGGGTCACAAGATTAGGAGGCAGAATTTGGCAGTGAAATCTCAGCTTTTAAACACTCTCCTTCACCCTTCCTATTCAACTGTTTGTCTCGTTCATTTGTTGCAGCCGCTTTCTTGCCAACCCAGAAGGCTCCACCCCATTTAAAAACAGGGACGTGGTGTGTTGTTGTCCTTTCCATTCTAGTTCTTGCAGTTCCCAAGAAGTCAAACTATGATGTTAGAGGGAGCGCATCATTTCAAGCTGGAACCTCTTTAGTGTTCCTGAGACATGATTATGGCAGACCTTCATGCTTTGAGCAGTCATACTACAGATGAAACCCATGTTCACATTCTGATGAAAAATTATACAACAAAGCTGGTTATTTTGTAAGCTACAAGGAGGCATGACAATCTTATGCCATGACACTTGTTCAATACATAACGAATGCTCTCTTCTAAGGATATGCTGTCTTTAGCATGTTGTGGCAAATTTCCTATGTTTGTCACTCGGTACTGCAGGAAATGCGTAGAAACCAGTTCCTGTGAGAAATGGTTGAAGGAACTCAGCACATTTAAACTGGAGGAAAGGGAGAGGTAATAGGATAGACGTGATGTGGCAACCAGGTTTTCTGCAGCTCCAGAAGGTAGTGGATTTAAATTGCAAGAAAGGATATTTCACTAAACATTAGGAGGAACAGCCATTTAACAGCAGGATGGATTGTTTGGGAGGTGGTAGGCTCTTCTTCATCTGAGCTTTTAAAAAAAGAGATTGGATTGCAGGAGATCTGCAATCTTGAGGTGTGGATCTCCTTAATTGGTAGAGGCTTGGGCCCTTGGAATCCTCTCTGGCTGTACAATTCTAGGCAAGAGAAGTCTCAATATTTGGCAGCAGAATTAAAAGATGGAAAGTGTTGCTGACTAAAAGTAGAGGAGCCCTTTTTTTTCTTTCAACAGACACCTGTATGATTTTCTTTCTAGTGTGTGGATGTATCTTTATTCTAAAGAGCATTGCTGAGCTGTTCCTCTCCCATTTTGGCACCCAGTTCATGAACATGTATTGTAGGACATCCATGTACAGTACAGACAGGGTACATGATACATAAAGAATCTGACATTACTCAATGTTTGTTCAGAGAAAACGTGAGCACTCGGGCATCTTCCTTTGAATCTGGCAATGTGCTGCTCTGAAGCACGAAGGGGGCTGTTTTTCTACCTCAAAGTCTCCTCCCTGCCCTTCACCACTTAAATGAAAAACCACTTCGGGAGTGGTCACTTCCTCTGTGCTTCTTGCTTGATCGTGCCTCACAGATTGACTAATGAACAAACCAGAAGCATGCCAGCACCATCCAGACATGTTAGATGAACCACTCCCGTTCTCTGGAAGGTACCTGGTTTGAGAAAGCCTGCTGTGTGTATGTATGCATGTATATATGTTTATATGCCACTTTTCTCCTAATGGATCTTCGGTAAGTTAAAGTATTAAAAAGCAAAGTTAAAAGCTAAATAATAAGTTACAATATTTAAAACATTTTCAACATACTATATTAAAAACTCACAAATAAGAACAATATAAAAAAACACAGGTAAAACAATGGAATAAAAACAATCCTTGAATAAGCTGACTGAAGAAGTTATTTGGATGAGCAGCAAAATGTTTAAACCTAACAAGAAAGAAGTCCAGTTGCCATGATTCAACTTCCAGAACTCTTTTTAAAAAAAATACACTTGGTCATTTAAAGGAAACTCTGCCTGAAGAGAAAGGTCTTTGCCTGCTTGCGGGAGGACAGCAAAGATGGGGCCAGCCTGGCTTCCCATGGGAGGGAGTTCCAAAATATGGGAGCATCAACAGAGAAGGCCCTCTCCCGTGTCCCCACCAAACGTATCTGTGAAGGTGGTGGGATCACGTGAAAGGCCTCTCCTGCTTATCGTAATATCCAGGTAGGCTTATAAAGGGAGATACAATCTTCTCAACAGCTTGTACCAAGCCATTTAGGGCTTTATAGGTTAAAATCAGCACTGGGCATTGTGGAAATGGATCAACAGCGGTAGGTGTTAAAAGACAGTGATTTTTAAATGGAGCCATATATCCTTACATGGATTCCCAGTGTGGTGCAGCAGACAGAATGATAGTCTAGGACTCTGGAGAACCGGGTTTGAATGTCCACTCTACCATGGAAACTCACTTGGGGGGACAGAACTGGTAAAACCACTCCTGAAATAGCTCACTTATCTTGAAGGCCCTATTCTGGTTGCTCTAAGCCAGTTCTAACTTGATGGGACAGAACACACACACATGCATCCTAACAGAGGAGTACTCTGCAAATATTGGGAAGCAATCCAAATACTGAGCAGCACCTCCTCAACCTCTTGCAGTGGTTCCTAATAGCCCCTGAGAAGAGCTGTGGTATACCATGCCATGAGGGTAAAATCCAATATATCTTTTCTCAAGTCCTTAAAGTGGCATAAAGTAAAAAGGAATTTCTTTTCCTCTCCTTCAGATGATCCCTCACCTCTATAATGAAACAGAAGTATAAAGGCCATTCCAGAAAGACAGCTCTGGGAGACACATTCAAATAAGGGGGAAATAGCTTCTGAAAAGAAGCAGTAGAAAGCTGACCTAAACCTGTCATGTGGCATGTGGCCACAGAATCCTGTTGAAGGTATGCCTGAGTTCTGCATTTTATAAGCATACGTATCTACTATGAATAAACATACATATTAAAATAAAAACAACCCTCCTTTTCTGGAGTGTTGTTTTTAAGTCCCCATTTTTTACACCTGTATCTTAGCAGACATTCCATCGGACCAATCTGCACTAAAGGTGAAGAGCCCCTGGGTTAGAGGTTGGTTTAGGGCTGGGAAAGTCTAGCTTTAAATTCCAAGATAGGCACCTGTGAATTAACAGTTCTGTGAGTACAGGCTAGTTCCTGTCTCTCAGCCCGAACCTGCTACCTCTCAGGCTTGTTGTGAGGATCACTGGTTGACAGGCAAACCATGCCCATGGTGGATGGAATATAAAGAGGAGTGAAAAACTCTCCACTGTTTCCAGATTGCATGGTTTGACCTCGTTTTAGCTTGCTGTGTGTGCCACACACTGTTTCTCGGGCAGGGTTCAAGGAGACTTGGTCCCTTTGTCTTGCTTCCTAACACATCAGTTTTTTTGTTTTTTCAGTCAAGTGATCATTCCCTACTTCTTCACACAGACACACCTCTTGTTTTTTTCTTGGGCTCTCCAGACTTTTAATCGGAATATAGATGAGTGGAAATGGTCTGAGCAGATTTTCATTCAGCCGGCACCAAGAATTAAATGCTAGGCTGAGTTCCTGCCCCGGGTCTCCGTCATCAGGGAGCTGATTGGGGAGGGCTCTGGCCTCTCCCCCTCCGTGGACTTTGGCTAAGAGCTGGACTTTTTTCCTGCTCTGTTGTGCAGCAGCAGCAGCCGAGAAGCAGGGTATAGTGTCCCAAGCACAAGCGTGAGTAGCTGCTTCTTTTTCCAGGGTCTGGCTGAAGCTGTTGAGAAGGTAAGGGAGACATGTGTGAGCGGGAGGGCAAACACTGCCCTGTTTAGTCCTATCCATTAAAACGAAAAACTACAGCATGATGGGTGTGGAAGCTGGGCAGTAAAGAATGCTGATAGGAAAAAAAACCTGATTCATTTTAAATGTGGTACAAGAGCTTTGCAGATAACCTAGATCAGTGATGGCAAACCTATGGCAGGTATGCCACAGCTGGCACACGTAGCCCTTTCTGCCGGCATGCAAGCCATAATTCGCCAGATTGCTACTCCCCCCCCCCCCCCGGCAGCCAAACCTGAGTAGGCAGCTGCAACCGCGGTACTGGTGCCCGGACAGGTGGCAGGTCAGGATCCAGAGCTGCTGGTGCTGGCTGCAGATCCGGAGTGGCGTCTCGAGGCACCTCAATGCTCATTCATGAGGTCACCATCAATTGGGAGTGACTTGATGGCACATAATAACAAACAGCATTCTCTGCCTCTGCCTCTGCCTCTACGCTTGCAACACTGTGATCCATCTTGTGGCTGGGAAAACTGAAGGCATGATAGTCTGGTTATAGTTTTGACATCTGAAGAAGCTCTTCATTATTCAGATCTGCCTGAGGAAAGTCAAGTATTGTGTACTGAGAGCCTTGTTAGGAACAGAAGCTTGGAAGTTACAGCTAAAGAAAATGAACTATTGCTGATTAATTTTTATAAAAGCTTGATATTTGAAACCTTGGTGTTTTTTTTTCACACTTCTCTCATATGTCTCTAACTCATCCTATTATCATCTGCTGTGAGGTTAATGTATATCCACTTAGAGGCGTTCAATGTATTCACGAAGACTTTCACGGCTGGGATCTGATGGTTGTTGTGGGTTTTTTGGGCTCTTTGGCCGTGTTCTGAAGGTTGTTCTTCCTGACGTTTCGCCAGTCTCTGTGGCCGGCAACTTCAAGGACAGCCCCATTAGTACTACTCCCCTTGTGCTTGATTCTACACGGAGTGCTGTCCTTTGAAGATGCCGGCCACAGAGACTGGCGAAACGTCAGGAAGAACAACCTTCAGAACATGGCCAAAGAGCCCCCAAAAAACCCCACAACAACCATTATATCCATTTGTTTGCCACTTTGGAAGGACTTCATGCTTGCCATGGGCTGAAGAGCTGCTAATCCTCCAGTTGAGAAAGCAGGTAGACTGCATGCTGAGAGTTGAGTACAGTATTCTCTTTGACAAATCCCAAAGGGGTAAGAGTTGCAATGCTGGACTTGGTATGTGAGGGGGCGCAGAAGGGTGGACCCTTCAAGACAAAGGTTAATCAGCAGAGTGAATAAAGATCTCTGGTTTTTATATTTCACTCCCCCCCCCCCATCTGAGTGTTATTCTGCATCTGTGATCTGGAGACTGTCTCCTTCTCCTCTATCTCCTTCTGGAGACTGTCTCCTCCTTTGGGGCAATTTGCTTCAAAATGACAATTTTTGCACAAAACACACTGATGAATGACAAGCCTGGGTGGCAATCAGGAGCCTAGGCCTCCCTTAGGCTGTTACAAACAACACTGTGGCATCTTAAAGGCTAAGAAAAGGATTATATAGCCTCTGATTTACACTTTGACTGACCAAATGCACCTCTGTCTTGTCTGGTTTAAGTTTCAGGTTTTTGCCTTCAAACTAGTCCGTTACTCATGTAACAGACAATACCTTCCTTGGAATCAGATGAAAAGGACAGATAGAGTTGTCTGGAAGTTGAGCCATGGCAACTGGACTCCTTTCTTGCTAGGTTGAAACGTTTCACTACTCATCCAAGTAGCTTCTTCAGACTGAAAAAGCTACTTGGATGAGTAGTGAAATGTTTCAACCTAATAAGAAAGGAGTCCAGTTGCCATGGCTCGACTTCCAGATAACCTCACCTGGATGGCTGAGAATCTTCACAGAGAGGTAGAGTTGGGTGCCATCTGCATATCAATGGCATCAAACCCCAACACACTCCCAGCCATTTCATGTAGAAGTCGAGTAGCAGGGGGACCAGGACTGAACCCTGGGGGACACCCAAGTCAATGACCAGGGAGTTTGAACAGGACTTCCTCACCACCACCACCACCCGAGTCCAGCCATCCAGGAAGGACTGGGATTACTATAAAACAATACCTCCAAAACCTATCCCAGAAGGATACCATGATGGAAATCTCAAAAGCCACAAATAAGTCCCGTGTCCACCAAGGACATAGTTCCTCTGTTCAGTAACCAGCATCGGTCACCCACCCAGTTGACCAAAGACATCTCTAATCCACAGCCAGGCCTAAAGCCATATTGAAATAGACTTAGATAACCCACTTCATCCAGGAACTCATGGAGATGAAGCGCCACCACATGCTCCCTGAGCATTTCCCTTGTTCCAGGAAGGTCTTTACTGGATCACCTGTCAAGACAGCAGAAAGCTCTCCAAGAGCCATCAGGAAACCACTGGGATCCATCAGCCTTCTAAGGGTGGGGCATCTTAATTGGTCCCCCCAAAAGAGCAGAGCCTCCATTCCAAAAGTATAAGCACCACCAGGCGGTGCTCTGTCCATGACAATGGAAGTGCAGAACACTGGTTCAAGAGCGTGGTTTGCAACAGGAGTGGGGCCAGATGCCACTTGGGACAGCCCTGTCATTATCATAGCTGACATGGAAGTCCTGAACTGCTCCAGATAAAATGACCTCTGCATGGATGTTGATGTCCCCCAGCATGATCTGCTGAGGCAACTCTAGTACCACACCTGAGAGCAGCTCAGTCGGCTCAGGAAGGGAGGCTGCTGTTGTGTAGGAGGGCAGACAGTGCACCGACAGAATCCCTATTCAGTCCCGGGCACCCACTCTCCGATATGAACACCCAGACCCAGCAGATGATGGGACAGGACACCCAGTGAGGGAGGTGGGATTTCAATAGACTATCACAACATTGCTTCCTCCCCAGGCCCCACATCTGACCTGCTGCTTTACAGAGAACCCAGGTGGGCAGAGCTGAGAAAGATTAGCTCCTCCTGCTTCATCTAACCAGGTCCCTGTAATATGGGGCAAATAGACACAGAAGAGCTCTGTCTCTCTCTCTCTCTCAGATCATTCCTTTAATGTCTCCTAAAAGGAGGACAAACGGTTAACATTCAGGTAATATTTGACCTGCTCTACACATGCAACAGAACTTGCTGAAGTGTTATATGTAGAATGGCCATTTGGCAAGCTTAAACACCGGTGAGAACAAGATGATTGTTATGTCTAGGAGGTGGATGAATGCACACATATTTAATGCCATGATGACAAAGTGCCTCAGAGGTGTGACAAGCCTATCAGAAATTTCCTAATCTTAATGTGAAAGCTGCATAACTGAGGCTCATTTCAAGCTAGGGAAAACCAATCAATGTTTCCATCTCAGACTGATCTGATCTATGCGGGCAAACTAGATACAAAGGAATTATTATTTGGTTATGTCAATGAACCCCGAATACTCTTCCCCCCCCCTCCCGGACTTTGTAAATTGGATCATATGTAACGCAGGCCACTCAGCTCCTGTCCCTGATTGGGACAAGGCCAGTTATAAAACTGGGTTACGAAACTTTCCTTGATCCTGGAATTCTGAAACTGGGAGATAATCCATTAATACCCAACCCTGAGAATCTCAACAGCAGGGACTCGGCAAGCATCCATGTGAGAGAAAGTGGGACATCGGTTTCCCAGGGGTTGCGTGGGATGTAATAATCCACTGCCGTTCTCTACAGCTCAGATGGCGGGTGTCAAAGAGATGCCACATGAGATGTTGAGCTGGTTCAGATTTGCGGGTCAAAGGCGAATGCGAGAACTGTTGAGACAGAGTTTCCAAAGGACCTAACCCCTTTGCTGATTTGTCATCTTGAACTTCCATGAGAATGAGCTAAGCAATGCAACAGGCAAGAGGCTATATTTTTGCCTTGATTTTCTGGTGCTGGTCCGTGGATTGGGCAGGGGATGGACAGAAAGACCAGGCCATGTTTGGAAGCACAAAGCCTTTGCATTAATTAGACTAGACTAGTCTCTTACTTTTATTTTTTGAATTTGCTGACACTGGTTACAATACCCCCTTTACTCAAAGGTGGGAAAATCCATCTACATCACCAACTGCACCATGTCCATTGTAAATGTGAAGCCTAACACGATACCTGTGCTCTGTGGTATTCATCGGTCCAACGTTTAGGTCTAAGGGTACACTGGGCAAATGGCATGTGGACACGAGCACTGGACTGGCTTACAAATACATGGCTGATGGAATGGACTCCCAACTTGTGGCTCGGAAATTCATTGAAAGCCTCACAGTTTGCCAAGAAGCCACTTGGGAGGCACAGCTGAAGTGATTTGCCAGCCTGTCGGCATTGGGTTGACCAGGAGTGTGGTGAATGGGGAGGCCCCACCATATAGATCAACAGCAGAGAAAACCCTAAATGCTCTTTGTGAAGAAGGCCTAACCAGGGACTATCCTCCTTTGGAAGGTGACTTCCCTTGGATGGGCTGTTCAGTCCAGGTCTGCTTGAAAGATGAAGATTTTATAAGGGGAGATTTTGGGAATTAACCACAGTGAACACTTGGGAGAGCTAACCATTTCAGACACATCAGTCACTCAGTTTCATTTCCCCCTACATGAGATATTCTGTTTAAATTATTTAAAAAATTATTTTCTGTTTTTGCATCTATTCTTATAAATTATCTCTTATTTTTATTTTTTTGAATTTGCTTTCCCCTTTTGCCTTCCTTTTTGAGGCTGCGTAGGTGGCCACCCTAATTAGCAGGCAGACCTTCACAAACAGGAAGCCATTTTCACAGAGTTGTGTTATAAAACACTCATTGCTCCTTATAGTGCAATGTCTGATGTGAACTAAGCTCAAAAGGAAAAAGGATGTTTCTCTATTATGTTTACAACCTAAATTTCCTTATAGGTACTCAAGATGGTTTCTACAGAACAACCCCTTCCCTGTTATATCCTTATAATAAGGCCACCCAATGAGTTGGGGAAGGGGGCCCAGATCCTCAGCCTCCCCAACCCTTTTCCAACACTCTGACTGTTCTACTTTCTTCAAGGCTGTAAAGATTAAATAGTTAGTAATTAATCTGAATTGCCTGTTTTTATAAAAAAAATGGATAAAATAATTTCTGCATCAGATTTGTCCTCAATAAATAGCAAGACTCTAAGCTGCACATTCTTGCTTGTTTGAAGATCTAAAACACAGAGCAAGACATTTTCTCATGTAATTCTTCTCCCATTGTCTGCAAAGCATAGTGGGACCTTGTGGCCTTGTTTAAAAGCAAAATCTGCTGCTTATATACTGACCCATAGTGCTTAAAGCACTCTCTAGGTGGTTTACAATTTAATGATGAAGGTTATATTTTCCTCCCCTCCCCCTGCAAGCTGGGTATTCAATTTAACAACCAAGGAAGGATGGAAATTTGAGTCTACCTTCAGCCAGCTACCTGAGCCCATGGGGATCAAACTCGGGCTGTGAGCAGGGTCTTGGCTGCTGTACTCCAGTTTAACCACTGTGCCATGAGGATCCGAGTTTAAGGCATGTTGGCATGCCAACCATGGACAATCCAGAAGATGAGAAGGAAGTAACACATGCAGCATCCCGGAGTGGTGCGACCCACCTAGGGCTGGGACAGGTATTCTCCCATAGAGGAAAACTGAAGAATAAGACCTCTTGGGAAGAGTTCAATTGCGTCTATTAGCAGGAGGTTCTGTCTGGATAAGAACAGAAACCGAGCACTGCTTGCCTGTCTTTACAATGAGGTTGGTGAAACTTTGATGGTGTAACTGTGCTGAGGACCCCCAGGTCTTTCCGTGCCTTGGATCCATTCAAAGGTTCCATTCAAAGGTTCTAATCTCTTGTGAACACGGGGCAGTAGAAGGGGACCCTACATATCTAAAGTAGCTTCACCTCACATGAGTTTCAACTCTTTTAGTTCTTCCTTAGTGAAGAACGTCCTTCCTTTACAGTGCTAAACCAGGAAAATGGGAACAGGGGTTGGAAGAGAAGCACCAATTGGGCATTGCATATTTGTGTTACTGTTGACAATAGTTTGAAAGGACTCAAGTCATTGGCAGGACTGAAACAGGATCTTTGAAAAATGCGGCAACCCCCGCCCACCCGCCCATGCAATGGTGGAGATCAAATTTAGGGTACACGAGGCAAATACAAATACACAATGTGCTGTAGTGGATTGACTGACGGACTAGGACTCAAGAGGCCTGGGTTCAAATCCACACTTAGCCACTGCAGGCGTGGAACTGGTAAAATTGCTCCTTAAATATCTCCCTTGCCTTGTACTTTATTAGATTTGCTACAAGTTAGATGTGACGTATTAATACATAACAGCATGGGCCAAATGCGTACCACCCTTGTGTGCCTGAACTGGAGGAAAGGAAAGCAGCACAGCGTGGTGGATTGGAATTATACTGGATGGGGAGACGGGCCTTAGTCCTTTGCCCCCATCCCAGCCTGATCTAAATAGTAAGGGGGAGCATATATGCAACCTGCAATGGGACAGGCAGATGGCATCAGCAGCACCAATGAGAGTTTTCCTCCAGTTGCAAACCACAGGCGCAGCTCACCAGCTGGATTCAGTTTCAAAGTCTTATGGGGGAGAAGAGTCTCTATCGCCACATGACAGTGCCACTCTGGTTTAAACCCCTTCCTCCCTCGTTATTTTTAAGAGCCAAATATGGTAACGATGTCAGTAATGCCACGTCTGCAAAAGTCAGTCTTTGGAAATGGCAATATTTGGATAAATCATGGGATAACACACGAAACAAGGTATCTAATCACTTCTTAACAGCCCCTTATAACCTCTTCCCGAGGTGCAGAAAGGACAACCTTTCAGGAGTAATGAACACGTCTGCTGAAATAGAGCAGTGTCCCTAGAAGGGTTTGACAGGGAGCCCAGAACCTACTGAGGACAGTACGGCTGATGTAATGATTGGAATGGATGGATCCCGTTCATGCCTTTAGGAGCTGAGAGAGGTCAGGAGGAGTCCTGGGTTCTCGACTTACCTTGCCAGTCTCTTCTCTCTCTCCCTGCAGGCCTCCAGCAAGACGTTAGGATGTGGTGCTCCGTGCTGCTCGTCAGCCTCCTCTGGATCGTGATCTGGTTCATTCGTGACCGTCAGACTTTAAGTTCCTTCAAGGATAAGTATGTTTTCATCACAGGCTGCGATTCAGGTTTTGGGAACCTGTTAGCCAAGCGGCTGGACAAGAAGGGCTTCCGGGTGTTAGCCGGCTGCCTGACTCAGAAAGGGGCCGACAACCTCCAGCGGGCCAGTACGCCCAGCCTGCGCACCGTCCTGATCGACGTCACCAATTCCGAGAGCATCCGCAAAGCCGTGGAGTGGGTGAAGGGCGAAGTGGGCGATAAAGGTGCGTTTCGCCCCAGCAGAGGTCACAGGAGGAAGTATTTGTTGAGTAGTTATTCATCCATCATATTGACATAGTAGCCCCTTGCCACCCCACGAGAATACCCACAAGGAAACATACCAAGGAAAAGATAATAACCTTCTTTATAAAAAGGTGAAAGACAATTTTAAAATTCGTTTATCCTGAAAAAAAATCAAACTGAAAGCCAACATTTTTTAAAAAAATCAACCTCTTTTAAAATCCAGCTTTAAAACTGGTGAAAAGAGCTCATGATAGTGAAAGAACACCATCTTGGCGACAGCTGAAAGCTCACCAGGGAGGGAGCCAGTCCGATATCCTTTGGGAAGGAGCCCGGCAGGCTAAGTGCTGGCACAGAGAAAGACCTCTCTTGTATACTATCCACCAGCCTAACTCTTCTGGGTGGGATACACCAGAGAGCCCCTGCTGGGGTTCTCAAATTCTGGGCAGACACACATGGGAGAAGGTGGATTTTCAGATAAGAGATGTTTAGGGCTTTACTGGTAAGAAGCAGCATCTTGACATGAGACCCATCCTATTGACATAGGATGGACTTTCAGATAAGAGATGTTTAGAGCTTGACTGGTAAGAAGCAGCATCTTGACATGAGACTGGATGCAAGTAGAATCCAGTGCACTTGCTAAAGAGTGGTGATATATGGTCTCCAACTGTCTGGCTCCCACATTTTGCATAAGCAGGAGTTTCCAAAGACTTCTCAGAAGCCAGGATAGAGTCACAGCTAGATGTTTATGACTCTAACACAAGCTGCTAGGGAAAGGGGGCAATGGGGTACTGGAGTCAGAAGTCCACTGGCTGAGATACATCTTAATTTTAAAATAAAGCAAATGGTTAGATAGACTTTCCAGCTTTGATTGTAGGATTGAAAACATGGCCAATACCATGTAAGCCTCAGAAGCCAGACCTATAACCAAATAAGATTTTGTTATCCATTGGGGTGGAAAGGAACTCATAAAAGCATTCCTGAAATAGCTCACTTCCCTTGAAAACCCTATTAAAGTTGTCATCAGACAATGAAACAGCACTGGATTGACAAGCTATGGTATGCAATTGAATTAGTGCTATATCACTTTAGTGCTGTAGTGCAAAAATAAGAGAAAAATAATTTTAAAGTACAGTCTACAAATTGCATTGCAGTTATGGTCTTTACTAGTGCAAACAGAAGGCAGGAAAGTGGAGTAAGGTTTGCTCTCAGACCATGCCCCATTCTGTGCATCATCAGTGATGTCATCTAGACACACCCAACAAAGGTCTTAAAGACTGATACAGGTGATCACCCAAGCCAAAAGTAAGATAAGATAATGTCTGTGGAAACACTACCAAGCAAACAAAGCTTTGCCATGCAAAAAAAAACCATACTACCTATTTGTGCCAAAAGATCTGATCTGCTCACAATTCGTGTTAATGTCATGTAGTCAACAGACTAATTATCTGAAGGAACAGCGAGAGAGGTGGTACCAGCAGGAGGACAAATATCTAACTGCTTCCTGCTATGCTTTGGAAACCCTACCAGGGTCACTCTAACTTGGTTGTCACCAGGCAATACATAATGAAAAGATCCTAGTATAGGGATAGGTTGCAATTTCGCCATACACAGAAAAGGTCTCAGACTCAGTCTTTGACATGTGCTGCTAAAGTAGGAGGTAAAGCTGGGAAAGATCTCAAGGTGAAATTATGAGGACTTGTCACAATGGAAAGAGAGAGGAGTAAGCAGCCTGGTTCTCTCCAGGTGTTTTGGACTATAGGTCACACAAATGATCACTGTTGGCTATGTTGGTAGGAAATTACAGAAACTGCATTTGAAAACACTTGGAAGGTTCACATTGCTTACATTGCAGGAGTTGATTTGCTATTGACATAACTCAAAATGAAGTAACTTGATCTGATCTCTTTCTAGAATCCTCTCCAGCAAGTTGGAGAGACACCATATTAGTGTAAAGGAATGCAAATTCCGTATTTGCCTCAGTTATGTCCAATATACAAGGAAGGAGAAAAGGGGACAGAGAGGTACAAGTGCCCATGGGGATCCCAGAGAAGGAACTAGAGGCACAAACAGCAAGCATTCAGTTGAGAAAGAGCAAGATGGGTTGTCTCATGTTCCCTTACCAAGTGGTCTCGATTCCTCAAGGGCTTTTTGGTCTGGTGAACAACGCTGGTGTGGCCAATCCAATTGGCCCAACAGAGTGGATGAATGTGGATGATTACCGCAAGGTCATGGCTGTCAACACTTTTGGGGTGATTGAAGTATCTTTGGCCTTCCTGCCTCTGCTGAAACGAGCACGTGGCCGTGTGGTCAACACCTCCAGCGTCTTGGGTCGCCTCTCAGCCAATGGTGGTGGCTATTGCATTTCCAAATACACCATCGAGGCCTTCTCTGACAACCTCAGGTAGGAGACTAGGTAGGGTTTCACGTGTGTTCATTCTTTAATTCCATGAATCCTGTACATTTTCTATCCTAGACTCATCTCTTAAATTCTTTTGCTTTGCCATCCTTCTAGTCTTCTCGTCCGTTCATTCACTTTTACCCATCCCTGTTTGGATTTTCTTAGGTTTCCTTAATTCTATAATGCCTTCCCTCCTCCACTATTTGCATCTTTTCGACTTAAGCAGCCAGTCTCTCTTTTCTTTAACATCCTCCATCCTCTGCATTTCTGTTTCATCCTTAAGCTTGTGTTCCCCTTGTTGTTGGGAAAACTTGGGAGGTAGAAGAACAGGTTCACTCAACTCCTCCACCTCTCAGTGGGAAGAAAGTAATCCTTGCTTTTCCAAAAATAACACCCTTCTGAATTTGCTAATGGTTATATTGGCAAAACTAGATGGTACAAAAGGGGGAAGGCAAAATCATGTAGTACAGTTGGACCTGCCCATAGCCACGGGATTGGTATCTATAGTTTCACTTATGCATGATCTGAAAAAAATAATTATATATTTTAAGACACCCTAGAAATACCGTATGCATTTCTGTTATGTAATTACCAGAACTGGCCACTAGAGTCAGAGATAATACTATGTATATAGGGTTTGCTATTATCCATGTTTTTTTGCATGAGAGGATATTTAAAAGCCACAATGGTGCTTGTCCCCAGCTTAAATTTAGAATTTTGGGTGAAAGGTTCACAGCAAAACAGAAAGAAAGATGTAAACTATAACCTCAGACTCAACCTTTCTCTCTGGAGAAAAAGGCACTTAGGAATTCAGTGTCTCTGAGGACAGCCTTAAGGTGATCAGTCCTTGGTTCTTGACTTCACTGAGCACTCTGTACATGCATTCCCGCTTTGGTAGTCTGCTTTTACAGATAACAACCCAAAATCCTATCCACAAATACATGATCAGTTTTATGAGCCTAATTGCAAGGTCAGAAATAGCCCTGCAATGAATGGAAAACAGAGAGAAACACCCATGATTTCTCTTGTATTTAGACAAGTAAAAGATAGGGTCTGGAATTTGGCTTTAATGGAGAAGCTATCAAGACAAATACCTGCTAATTCAACTTCTCATAACATGTTATTTAGCAATGTGGTTCCCTTTTATCCATCCTCTACTTAACAACAATGCTTGATATCCTTCCTTTACAGCCCTGTGAAAGCACAAGCACAAAGAAAGTCGTTTTTATACCAGTCGTTTGTGACCACTCACAGAAAATTTATTCATAGACTTCTGTGAACATCGTGATCGTCTCTCCAGTAAATTCCACAATTTAATTAGCTGCAGCATTCTAGGCCTGACATGTACCATCCTACTAGAGCTGTATGCTAATTTAACTAGCAGTTTTAAAATACAGTACTGTACAAGGGAAGGGGGAGCATTTTAGTCCTTCACTTCCTGGTGATTTAAAAAGGTTTTCACAGCAAATCATTATGTGTAACTGTAAAGAGTTTTAAGCCCTCAGCCTAAAGCCAAACAAACTCTAGAAACCATGGGAAGCTGCTTAGGTGCTAAGTTGCCCTTTTTTTAGGCTTGCTATCCCAGTGCACAACAGGCAGGAATGTAACACTAGTATTTTTTAGGTTCCTGAGATGAGATGATGAGGAAGGAATGATGCCAATTAATATGTTATGCAAGTATTAGGAGAACCAAGATACTAGTCAGTAAACAATGTTGGAAGTCCCCCTCCTTGACAAACCACATGAGAAGATCACTTGAAACAGGCAGTAAAAATGCCCGTTAATAATTAAAAATTAATTCAGCCACAAGCAAGCGTCTGTGTTTTGCAACAGAGGATCACGTGTGTTATGCCAATGTGCAAAACAGGTTTTGCAGAAAGACTTGTCCAGACTGTATGGGTCGAAGGTGGTTCTAAAGTTTATAATGATGAATGTTTTGAATGCCTTCTTTTGCCAGGAGGGACTTGTACCATTTTGGAATCAAGGTCTCCATTGTGGAGCCAGGCTTCTTCAAGACGGCCGTGACCAATCTTGACTCCATAGAGGCTTCCTTGCGGCAGCTCTGGGACCGCATGGATCCGGAGGCCCGACAGAGCTATGGAGAAGACTTCTTTTCAAACTGTGAGTGCTACGGCAGGCGCAGCTGCTAAGAGTGGAAAGGGTGGTGGGGTGGGGGAGGAAACGCAGAGGTTTGGCTGCTGAAAAAGAAAGAGCCTTTAGATCTACCAGCCATTATCTTTATAAAAAAAGATACAGGGCGAGGGGGGGGGAGCAGCAAGAACATCCACTTTCTTAAATTAAACCCTTCAAATTTTCCATAAGTCTTATAGCAAAATCTAGCATTACTTCAGATTTTTAAAGATCAGGTTTGTTTGTTTTTGTTTGTTTGTTTGTTTTTAGTCAACTATTGGTAACTTTATTATGTACTAAGCATTTCAGTCCAAGGTATAGCTTTTGGACACTTTAACAGGGCAAGCCTTGCCTCTGTTCCATCTTCACTTTATAAACTGTTGGGGTTTACAAAGCAACCCCCACCCCCAACCGCACATACATATGTATATACTGTATATACTGAGAACTTCAGAACCTTCCACCATCTCAGGCTAAAGGGGGGCATCCTGGAGATGGGAGATGTCAGGCAGTTTCCTGTTGGGCTTACAAAAGAAGCCTCAAGTGCTGATGCAAATGTCTTCTTCTGGTCATGTTTCCTTTCCTACCAGAGGTTGGGCATGGCCATTTTGACTTTGGAAGCAGTCGCTCTGAATGTTTTGCATGAAAAAACAGTCCCTAAGCATCTCCAGCCAATAAGTCTTCTGTCTTTCCTACACTTCTCCCTATTTAACCTGAATGATCAGGTATAACAATATGTATTTTTTTTTCCTTTCTCGTTACTTGGCCAAAACATTCTAGTTTTCCACATTTTACACTTCATGATTTCTTGATCTTTATTCATTTGCTTTAGTACTTCTTTGTAGACCACTCTCTTGATCCAATAAATGCTTAGCATCCTGTGATAAATCCAGATTCCAAATACTTTTAAAATAGTAGTCTGTTTTAATATTCGCTATTTAATGCCATACAGCAGAAACAAGAAGATACAACACCACGTAAAGGAACCCTTTTTCAATGCTCATTGTTATTTAGGTTTTTGTTGCATTTCCCATTCTTCATCCTAAGAAAGCTGCTCTGGGCCATCTCTATTGTGGCCTTTCTTGCATAGCTGATCCCTCAGTTCATTCAGCCAAATTTCAAGGTTTTTTGCTTTTGTCATCACGCGGGACATGCACATTTTGGATCTTTAACTGCCATTTTTGGAGGTGCTGGCTTTTTATTGATTATCCTGAACTTGGTTTGCTTCACATTCACTTTTAGACTGTTTCCATTGTTCAATTAAGACACCATCTACATTGTCAGGTAGTAATATAGTATCATCTGACCATCAGATGTTGTTGATAACCTTATCGTTGACAATAATACACTCATTTGCATCAGAAAATGCTTCTCTGAAGATGCTCTCAGGGTACAAATAGGAAATTAGTTCAGATGCAGATACCTTATTTAGAAGTACGTGCTTAGTAGAAACTGTCTCTTGACCCTTCGATGGAATGGGGAAGAGATAGTTCCTTCTTTCTAAACTATTTAAATATTTATGCTAAGAGTGTCTTATTAACTCAAAAAACGGGAGTGTCATATAAATTATCTTTACAACATAGACTAGGTTACCAGAAATTGCAGGCAGTATATAAAAGCTTGATTTTGTTCTTCAAATGCAAGCTCTCCCTCTGGGTACAACAGTCCCTAAACAGAAACATTTAGAGAGAGAACGGTGGATAGTATAAAATGTTTCTTAATGACTTCAACTTCCTCTACCTGTCCCACAGATCTGAAAGTTCAGAAGTTCATAATGAATATCATCTGTGATCCAGACCTTAGCAAAGTGACGAACTGTATGGAGCATGCGCTGGAGGCCAAGCATCCTCGCACCCGTTATAGTGCTGGTTGGGATGCCAAGTTTGTATGGCTGCCAGCCTCTTATCTACCTGCCTTCATAGTGGACATTGCTCTGGCTATCATTCTACCAAAGCCAGCCCATCGGGTGCGCTAGACTCCAAAGGCCCTCCTTTTACCCAGGACCAAAGTCTGTGGGTCCAACTCTCAAATCGGCCACATTTCCCAAGAAAATATGGAGAAATAAAGATGATGATGTAATCAGCAAGAGAAAGCTGTTGCCGTCCGCTCCTCTTCCACAGGTTTATAGGGAACAACCAAAACTACCCATTTTATAAGAAGCCACAGTATTATAGATCAGGACTGGGGAGTGGGGGAGGAAGGTGGGTCATAGTGGGATGTGCAGCAACAAAGGTTTTAACTCCTAAATGGGTTAACAACGGCAGCAAGAAAATGATGTGCCCAAATTAAACTGTTGGAATGAAGATTAAAGTAACCAGTAGTCTATCTTTGTGTGACTTAATTGTGAACGACACTCATCCCCCCACCACCCCCGTCCTTTTGTCCTTCTAAGGAGCCTGCATGGAGGATATATATCCGGGATTTCCTAACAATTCTCCTGAGAATGAAGAAGGTACTTGGATGAGTAGCCAAATGTTTCAAGAAGTCCAGTTGCCATGAGTCAACTTCTAGAAAACTACACTCAGTTTTCATTCTCAAAACAAATTCCTGGGCTCAGACTTGTGTAACTCAGAGTGTATTTTTGCACCAAGCCCTGGTCAGTTGTTGCTGAAGTTTTAGTTTGTTTTGTTTTCTTTCAGCAAATCCCTGAAGGTGTTCCCACATCAATCCAAGAAATACAAGGAATTGTGTTTCTAGTGAGCCTAGTAGAAGCAAACAATAAGTAGGATCAGAGGGGGCAATAAAAAAGAATTTGAGAATGATGCTAGAAAATCATAGCTACAGCATCCATCTGAAACGCTACAAAAAGGAAATCTGGACATTACATGGCAAATTAATAGTAGGAGGCTATACCAAGCCCGGCCAAAATGGAAGCCATGGGCTACAGGTTTTCCCCAGAGAATTTCTCTACCCATCTCATGGGCCTTTCTTTTCTTTAGCCAAAAAAAAAATCAGCTAATTCTGCTCCTTGAAGCATTCAGGGGCAACAAATTTTGAGGCGCTGAGGGGTCCTCCAGTTCCCCTAATCAAAGCTGATTATCACTTCCGGACAGTCCTGTCCCCCTGCCCTATTCTTGGCCATTTCAAGCATGGCTTAGTCCATGGCAGACGCTGCAGGAAAAATGGGGCTCCCAGGCCTGTCAAAACTGGATGTGGGAATGTTGCTTGCAAAGCAGCATGACAGCAGCGACTATCTTAAGCAAGTTCTAATAGTTTGACAAGGCAGTACAGTACTGAACTGTGATAGTGAAACCACAGGGAGAGGCCCATAAGAATAGGAATACACAGTTGCAGGGAATAACAAGAGTGGCTATGGAGAAGGTAATTCAGGAAATCTTGTCTGCCTTCTTCATCATTGTTGAGCCCCAAAAGCCCCTACACATTTCCCAAGAAATCACTTAGGAACCTATACCTTGTACAGTGAATGCAAAAAGTGACCAGCACTATTCAATGGAGAAAAGAGAGGACTAAGAGTAGTTGGTGAACATCTATAAATGCTGATACACCTGCAGCTTGGGTTAGAGGAGCAGCTTAGGCTCTCTCTATGTATAGGCCTAGTCCACATCCATCACAACTAAGCAGTCAGATCTTGCTATGTATCCAGAACCAGGAATAGTTTTTAGGTAAAATGAAGCCCCAGAGTTTGTCTCATATATGTTTTTGCAGACTCCAAGAGTTAGGCTGTATTTCAGCCACCATGAAGCTCTGTAAGGCATAGGATGCAGGAGAGGTATCAAACTGCATTGAAAAAATAGGATTTTGCAAAGGTGCAAACCACCCCTGGGATCATTGGCCCTACATCAGTGGCAAACCTGTCCCATACGTGCTTGCTGGAGACAAAGGTAGGCAAGTCCACCATCGTGTGGAAAAAGACAGGGTCCCCACACTGATTCTGCACCTGTGTCAATGATGGCCTAAAAGTATAAAGTGGAATTTATAGCTTCCATCCATTGAGAAGCACTTGCAATTATTTGCTTTCATGCAGTTGGGTGCACTAATCCAGCCATTCTCAACCTTTTTTTAGCCATGACCATAAACAGAGTATGAAAGAAATATAGGCCAAAGCAGGTCTTTATACGTTGCATAATGAACCTTATAGGGTGGTGTTTGAAGAACTGTTTCCTGTCTGTGGCCCCTTTCAAATGTGCCAAGGGTCCCTATAATTTCCCAAATACAGTGGTGCCTCGCTTGACGATAATCCATTCCAGCAAAATCGCTGTAGAACGAAATCGTCGTCAAGCAAAAGTAAAAAGAAACCCATTGAAATGCATTGAAATCCAGTTCAATGCGTTCCAATGGGCGAAATCCCTCATCGTGTAACGAAGATCCTCCATAGGGTGGCCATTTTCCGGTGCCTGTTAAGCGAGGAATCCATCCTAAACACAGCAGGGAGCCATTTTGAGAGCCGCCAATCAGCTGTTTTAAAATCGTTGTTTAGCAAAGAATCAGTTCCTGAAGCAGGGAACCGATTGCCGTAAAGCGAATTTTCCCAATTTAAACACCGTTTTGCGATCCCAATAGCGATCGCAAAAAATAAAGCGAATTTTTCCAATTTAAACACCATTTTGTGATCGCAATAGCGATCGCAAAAATGTCATCATAAAGCGGATTCATAGTGGAGCGGGGTAATCGTCAAGCGGGGCACCACTGTACACAAGAATCTCTAGCAGTCCCAGCATAAATGTACTATTGTGTTCAGCATCCGTTCAGAAGGAAGGCATGACTTCTCGTCACATGATAGAACAAAGCCTGTCTCCTGCACAAGTTTACATATTGCAGACACTGAAGGGGAAAATGAAGAAGCACTCAAGAGTGAAACTAAGAGTGAAAAAAAGCTTACTGTGCCCTCCCACCACATAGCTGCCTTTCCTGTGACCTCACCACAGGATGATTTCTGCTGTACACAAGTTTCCGATTAGAGGCTGCGAAGTGATTCAGTCACTTACAACCCAGCCCAGTTTTATCAACCAAACTAAACTCCAGGATGGCAGTATATTACGTAGTGTGGATGAGTCAAATGTTTACAGCAGAAGGTGGGAAAGCTGCAACGCTAGGGGAAATGAAGAGGAACAAGGCTAGTCCCACTGATCTTTGGAAGAATTTAGAAGAGGGGCAGGAATTTATGGCCCTCCATCTCTCAAAGTACATAAGAAGAGCCCTGCTGGATGAGGCCAAGAGCCCATCTAGTCAAGCTTCCTGTATTTCACAGTGGCCCCATCAGATGCCTCTGGCAGCACACGAGACAACTAGATACCTGTCTCCTGATACCACTCCCCTGCATCTAGCATTTGGAGGTACCTTCCTTTTAAGCATGGAGATTATACATCCCCATCATGGCTTGTAACCTGCAATGGACTTTTCTTCCAGAAATCTGTCCAATCCCCGTTTAAAAGCATCTAGGCCAGATGCTATCACCACATCCTGTGGCAAGGAGTTCCACAGATTAACAACACATTGGGTAAAGAAATAGTTTCTTTTGTCTGCTCTGTCTCTCCCAACACTCAATTTGAGTGAATGTCCCTGGATTCTGGTATTGTATGAGAGGGAAAAGAGCTTCCCTTTATCTACTTTATTCATCCTCTGCATAATTTTATAGTCTCAATCATGTCCCCCCCCCTCAGGCCCCTTTTCTCTAAAGAGCCCCAAACACTGTAGCCTTCCCCCATAAGGGAGGTATCCCAGCCTAGTCATCATTTTAGTCGCTCTCTTCTGCACCTTTTCCAGTTCCACCATGTCTTTTTTGAGGTGCAGCGACCAGAACTGTAGGCAATACTTCAGGGTGTGGCCTTTCATCATTTTATACAATGGCATTATAATGGCTGTTTTATTTTCAATCCCCTCTTTAATGTTACCATTATTACCACTACCATCATCCTTCAGTATTGGCTATTCTGGATAGGAGTGATGAGAACTGCACTCCAAACATTATCTGGAAGACTACAGATTGTCCATCTGAGACAAACAAAACAAAGGGTGCTTATAAACCCCACCCTAGCCCTTAAAGCACTCTCTAACAACCATTAGATCCCGGCCATGAAAGCCTTTGCAAATACTCTCTGGGTGGTTTAAAATTAAATTATGCGGGCTACGCATTGCTCCCCCCTTCCCCCAGTGAGCTGGGTACTCAACTCTCTGGGTAGTTTAAAATTAAATTATGTAGGCTACGCATTGCTCCCCCCCTTCCCCCAGTGAGCTGGGTACTCAATTTACAAAACCTCGGAAAGATGGAGTGAACCTCGAGCCAGATATTTGGCACTGAACCTAGGCCTTGAGCAGAGTTTAGGCTGCATTACAACTTACTCGCTGTGTCACAAGGAATCTGTGTCAGTACCAGACAGCCCAGCCAACACCTGAGGCAGATGTTCTCCCTTCCTGCCCAGTAGATCAGTAGATTTGAGGCCACTTCCTACATTTCTCAAGCAGCTTCCACTTGGCTGGATCCCACACTGCTCAAGTACTGTGCCATACAAACCAGTCAGAATCCCTGGGAGAAACAATGTGTCTTTTATTTTTTTTCCCAAACAGCAATTTACTGGCTTAAAAAAAAAAAAAACACCATCAAGCCCCACGATATTCTGTCTCAGCATGGCCTCCGAAACAACCGTGCCTGCTTGATTTAAGAGCCAGCTCTTTTTCAAAAGGGAAAAAGGAGTAACTCCAAAGCAGAGCAGGGTCTGCTTTCTACCTGTGTGGTGTCAGGGAAAAGGCTGCACCCTATAAGTCTTTAAGGAGTGTGAATTTGTGGAAATGAAAAATTCAAGGATGGTTGCTCAGACTTATCGAAGGCATTAGGGAAAATCTGCAGGAATACAAGAGCAGCTTCTTCTCACACGATGCCCACTAGATGGCGCACAAGAAAGGCATCGTGAGTTTTAAGGATGACGAGGAGGACTGGGGCTATGGAGCATGAAACCATGGACTCGGCCCATTATTATAAGGGCGAGGGAAGAGAGATAAGGCAACTTGTGAACCCTCTGAAGGCAGCATATATTTTCAAGAAAGACAACAGAAGAGGAAACATCTACCCAACCCTGATCCAATGGCATGGGATGGTCAGTTGAACCCCCAGAAAAGGAGACAGAAATATTCCAGAGTCCAGAGTGATTGCAGCTGCAATAATCAGGTGTAAAAGAAGAGAGGCGGCTACATAACCTCGTAGCCACTGCGGATTCCTTTCATCAGGCAGCAGGCAAATATGATGCCCAGGAGCTGAAAAGCAGTGACAAAAAAAAATGTTATCAGACAAATGACTACATTTGCAGTTTGGCTGACCCCTGCAGGATACGAAACAGTTTGGAGATGGAGCCTCAAGCTAGTTATGCAAACATTACTTCTACCTTCCCTGGAGATGTAACAATTCTGTCCTCACTAGATCTTCTTTCTTCCTTTTCTAACTGACATGCCACATTTCCATCCAAACCTGGGAGCCAACCAAAGCAGCTTAATGATACAATTTATAAAACAGAATTAAAATGCACTGGATGAAATCTTTTGTTTCTAGCTTCAACCAAGTCAGAACTTCCGGTCTGTTTCCTTCCTGGTAAACAAAGAACCCTGCCATGATTCTCGAAAACATGCATGCATTTCTCCCCGCGCACCCACCCCTGAATCTTGGTAGGGACACCTTGTTTACCAGAAAGGAATAGACTGGAAGTTATGACTTGGATTTCAGCTACTGAGTTACAAATATAACACAATTAAACCTCTACTATTATTAAAATACAATTTAAGCTCAGACACTTTAAACTTTGTTGAAATACTGGTCATAGTTTTCCTGAAAAAGAGGGAGAACCAGCACATGAGCTAAAAATCTAATTATCTGGGGTTATTAAAATTAATAATAATAATAATTGTGTGTCATCAAACCAATTCTGACTTTGGGGCCACCCTTTCCAGGGTTTTCAGGTACAGAGTACTCAGAAATAGTTTATCATTCCTTTCTTCTGGGGGCAAGTAGACTGGATCTACTTGCAGGAGGTACAGTGAGGAATCAAACTCCCGGCCTCTGGCTCTGTAGTCAGATATGTAAACCATTGAGTTATTCAGCCAGCTTACCAAAATTGCTGAAGCCTAAAAAGATCTTTGGCTAAGATGACAGGTAGGAGACAGACCTAGCCTTTCTTGATAAAGTTCAGAGCTTTGAAGTGGCCATGGAGAACGGCCCCTCCAGCAGATCTCAAAGCCTGGACAAGCTCTTAGATATACCACCCCTTCATCTTTGCTTGAATCCTCCTCTGCCATAGCACAACTGGCAAAAATTACGCTGGTGAATTGCCACTAAGAAGTTACCAAAGGCATTTACCAAGTTGCACTCACAGCAATGCTTGAGCTAATTTCTTAGTTTGCAGCAATTTGTGAGTATGATTTACTCCACCTGGATCATGCCATTAGGTATAACTAATAAATTTTGGAATATATAAAGTGCATAATGCTTCATTTCATTACGTCAAAGCAGGATCCCTTTCCAAACTTCCAAAGAACACGAGTGAAAGAAAATTAAAATAAAACCAACAACTTCAGTCAACCAGTAATACAATGTGAAGACATACACTCCTTTGTTTCTGCTGAAGACATTTTTGCAGGAAGTTGTAATGTGGGAGGATAAGGGGATCCACAACTATAGACCTGTTCAAGTCATTCTGCATGTATGCAAAGAGTGCTCTCGCCCACATTTGGGAGAACCTGGGATTATACCAGGGGTATAATCTTCTAAGACCACCACCACCCATGCCACCCAAATTGTTCAAGCCTGTAATAAATACCCTGCTGGTCTCTATATTGGAGGGAACCAGGTATGAAGACCCCCAAAGTTATTCCCATCGATTCACAACATAGGTGTGCCCTCTGGGAAACGAGCCACTGTTTCCGTGGACAGTTTTCATGCTCTCAGCTTTGGGTTTCCATGCCAGGAGCACAATCAATCACTCTTGAGATGGCAGCGGGCAGAACTCACCTCTCTTCCATGCAAGCTACCTGCCTTATGGAATCAAGCTTAGGCTAACACACTATTTAACCTTCTAAGGCACTGGTGGGAAGCATATACTCCCTAGAGCTGTATTTAGGCACCCCTGTCCCTGCTAGATGCACCTCTATTTAAAAAAAACAAAAAACTTTCTTTACAGCTGAGAAAAAAGATAATCCAGAAAGCCCTCCCTCCCCACCCAACAACAAAGTGATGACTCTTCTTTAAAACAAACAGCAGGATCTCTAAAGCACTGCTTTGCCCCTTGAAAAGTTTTATAAGTGAACATATGACTAAGCCTGAGGGTGGTGGGGTTGCCAGTGGGGCCCTAGAGTGGGAAACTGGCATTTGCTCCCCCCTGCTTGGTAAGAAAGGCTTCAGACTCCGTGTTCGGAAGTGGGACTTGGCAAACTAACAATGTCCCTTGTTTTTTAAAAAACAGGTAACTCATTACTTGCGCATAACAAGTGATAATATTGCACTATTAATATGTTATTGCCAACAAAAAAGAATCACTAAAAATGGTCCAGAATGGCCAGTTCTGCAAACTTCCTCTCCCCATTTACCCTCAGTAAATGTTACTCCTCATGCAAAACTGTAGGACTTTGTCACTCGCATTAGTAACTATATTGCCTCTTATTAATAGGGGGAAATGGTAGCATATTATGAGTGATAACATCATGCTCTGTTTCTTCCAAGTTTTGCTTAGGCAAAATTCTTAGCTTGGTCGAAGTCACTCCTGCTGTTTAAGAAGTTGTAGACTAGTTTGGAAGGTAGCAAAAACACTGTATCTTTAGGTAAATAGGTCAAATTTAACATCAGTGCCAATACAGAAATCAACTGCACCTGCCCAGATTTCATTTTGCTGCTGTCCCTTTCACCACCCCGTCCCATTTTGCTGCTTTGGGCAGACCCACACAGACTACACAACTGTTTAACATGCCCTAGAATGGCTGTTTGCAGCACCAGTACTGCTACTTTTCCACTGCAATTCAGCAGGGATGCATATTACAATTTGCTATAAATATGAAGCTGCTTACAAAGAGCAGACATTTAGTAGCCAGGAGCCAGATTTCAGAGTCCTGGCTAGCTCTTTGCCCTACCCCATTGATAACAGAAAATAAAATAAGGAGGCCATTTAACTGAATTATTTATCACTCATCTGGGTTCCAAATGAACTAACATTTTCAATGTGCAGGACCAATTTTGTTTAAAGCATGGAACACACAAAGACCCAAATTACTAGTCTGCCAATTTTAGGAATGACTTGTTATTAATTAACCTTGAATCCATACTCCGTTAATGTGTTAAATATCAATTGTACAAATATGTTACTTTATCAGTGTCAACATAAATACCTCCAAGATCTGACTTTGCCCCAGCAGAATAAAATGAGACAAATGTATATGCGTGCATGCACGCACACAGTATCCCCAAAGGCTATGATAATGTTTTGTACCTCAAAGAAAGCAATGCCCAACGCCACTGCAGCCACAATTATGATGTGTTTCTTCATCCACAACTCTACTTTTTCTACACAACCCTGTACAGAAAAAATAAATTAGCAACAAATTAGTGTCTTAGAAGGTCATCTGCCAGAAGAGTCAAGCCAGGAGCCCTGGGACAATGCCTTCCTTTTTCCAAAATCCCCCCATACCAACCTTATTGTGGACATTTTCTGGAGTTGGGTTGTTGGTGCAGTTCATGCCAGCATTGCAGCATGACGGAGGTACCAAATGGGACTTAAACCTGGGCACATCGAACCAGTCTGTGTAGTTAAAGGCTCCACAGCAGTTATACTATAGTCAAGGGGTAAGGGTAGGAGAGGAGGGAACAAAGAGAGAGAAGTGATGATTTTCAAGAATGACTGGGTTGTTTTGTTATTCATCATTTTCCTCTCACCTTCCAAAATTTGCAACACACACACACAC